TTGATGTCAGCAGATCAACCGAAACTCTCTGTGGCTTTACAGTTTTACACAGAATTAATGTAACAGCAAGACCTCTGCAATCTTCAGGTGTACTTTCCCCCTGCCTTTTTGGTATTGGTTTTACACAAATGTCAGCTGTTTACAAGCATTTGCAAGTAAACATTTTGAGGGCCTGTTTTAAATGCACTGAAATAGTTGCTCTCAATTTTATTTTTGTACTCAGTTTCTACCTTGCAGATTAATTCTCTCAGTTCTTCATTGCATATACTTTGAATGATCGTTTTACAAAATGATCGTTTACAGCAACATAAACGAGGGTAAGAGAAAACTAACTGCAGTCTTTTCAGAACATTTGGCCTTCTTGATTTGAATTGTAGGGAAGTGAACGGTTGAGCACGGAGCTGCATGAAGAGAGTGAGAGATCAGTGATAACGAATAGGCTAAAAGACAAGTATAGATGTTGGCAAAATGTTAGGGATTAGTCGATGCCTATTTGTGCTTGATATAATTTAAGCCAAGAGTGTGAAGTAGCTACACTGCAGGAAAAGCTGCCTGCTCAGCCAAGCTGAAAATTTACCCTGCTTATAAATAACAGAAGATTCCGTAAAGATTGTCATTTTAATTTCAGTGCTTGTCTCGTTAGAAGAAAACAGGCCAGGTGAGAAGGTGAAGAGGTCAAAGGAATGCTTTACTTATTTAATTAGAGTGTATCGATGAGTTTGTGTTGTTTGGATTATTTTGTTTTGATCTATGACATCAGCAAGTACATTTTAAATGTACTTTTGAAGAGCAGCATTAAGCTATTATAACAGGATGCTGATCAAGCTGTCATCTGTGTTTGGTGAAAAACACTGAAAAACACTAAAACTCTTCCATGTTAACAATTCACTCCTCAGCTTTTTTCTAATTTTGTGGGATTGACAAGTTTGACTTTTTTCAGCCTGACAACCAAAATGTCCTACTTCTCGTCCAAGATTTCACCCATTTGAGATGCTTTATGGGATCCTATTTAAATGACCTTTATTCCATAATTACATTTAAATGCATTTCTAACAGGCTTTACTCAAACCTCAAATAGCTTGAGGTTTTGAAATGTTGGCTTCACTGGACTGGTAATAGAGTAATTAACAAGGTCATTCAAAATTTTTTCATATATTTTCTATCAATGCAGCAAGGTCTGATGACAAACTTTGAGCTTTACATGTCAGGGTGTACATCACAATAATTCTCTGCTCAGTGTCTTCCTTTCTTTGGTATGTGTGTGTATTGTAATTTCCTACTTCCATTACCCCAAATGTTAAAGTGATGATGATTTATAAGATAGCAAGTTGCAATGTTTTGCTGCTGTTTTGTGCCTGAGTTTGGAATATCTAACTTTGACAGTGACATGTCAATGTCTCTTCTGATGCACAGCATTACTGCGTCAGCAATTCACAGTTCCCCCCTTCTGCTTCAGTAGAATGCAGGTGGAGTTCTTCTCTTTTCAAGAAACAAGAAAAAAAGCCCAGAACCTTCTTCTTACGCACTTGGCATCATCTTGTACTGGACGAATGAGAATATACACCAACGACTTCTAGTTTTACAATGTAAAAAATGAAGGTGTAGTCTCGTCAATGACTACACCTAAATGGATTAAAAAAAAAGCAAAAATATGATACCCAGAAATAGTATTTAGTTTGAAAATAGCTTCGCTCCTCATGCGTATGAACTAATGAAAAGTCCATTCCCATGTTCACTTAGTCATTTTATTTCTGTGTACTCAGGTATTTGAAAAGCGTTCAGTATGCACACAGCTTGCAGTTAAGATGTGCCCTCTGTTCTCTTTAGAGGAACCTCACATTGAACTCAGGCTTGCAACATTGCTCTTTGGGTGTGTTTGTGGTTATGTGTGCTTTTATTCTGTTTTTATTCAGTTAAGAGAATCTAACAGAGATTGAATGACCTCTCTCCCCCTGACCTTTTGATTTTCTTTGCTTTCACCCTTGTACCACCATCCTATTTATTCCTGACTCCCTCACCACCTCACCTCTCATCCGATTTGGAACAAACAGAGATGATTAATAGAAACTTGAGGAAACATGGCAGAAGCATGTTATTGGCGGCGAGGTGACAAGTCCAAAGTGTGCACAACGCCCGTGTATGTATATATATGTGTGTGTGTGTGTGTGTGTGATAGTGATGTGCTCATGTTGCATACATGCATGCATGTGTGTTTTATGAAAGCAGTTTTGGGAAAAGGGTTGACCTCATAAGTTCACCAAGGGAACCCAAGAGACTTGTGCTGAGCCGCCCTCTTTTCTTATTGGACCCTGCTGCTCTTCCTAGAAGTCTGAGAGCTTGTCATTGGCCTAAAGAGTTAGGGAAATGAGGGATAAATGTCCCGCCCTGGCAGGGCTTTCGCAGACAATTTCAAAGGATTAACATGAGGTGAAATGTCAGAGTCAAATAGCTCTTTGGGGTTAATTTAGTTTGGTTCTTCCACTCATGACACAACAGACTTTGAAAGAAGAGACAATGCAGAAACAGAGAAAAAATGGTTTGATCGTCCTAATTGCCCTAATGGCGGTGCTTCAGCTGGAAGATTAAGAGAATAATTGTTTGAAGCATAAGTGAGGGGGAGACTGAATTATTCTAAAGAGACGAAGTAGACCAACGCAGAAACTGAGCAACATGTGAAGTAAGTGGGATATTCTACCCAGTCCAGATGAGCCTGCTGCTTGACAGCTTTCTGCCATGAATTCCTGCATTGTATAACTTGGCCTTCTGTGGTCTCTGGACACATGGAATTTAGACACACATGCACAGGCACACACACACGCACACACACACACATACACACACACACTTCAGCCTGAAAGTTTAATGTAAAGAATAAAGTTGTTGCCTAGTACCGAGAACTTTGATTCACTGTGAAAGTCTGAACATTCCTGCCAACATTTATTTTCAGTTGTTTATTGTGCCTGTTTTTTTTTTTTGTTTTTTTTTTTCACAGTTTGGATAAAACCTTTTTTTTTTTTTTTTTTTTTTTTGAATGACTTAGAATTGTATTGCTTATTAAATCATGTAAAAGATGTCCAATGAGCAGGAGAACATAAGATTAAGACGAAAGCTTGTAGTGTCAGCAAGCATCCGAGTTGGGAAAAACACATGTAGAGGCATAAACTCAACATTCAGGGTAGCTGGCTGCCCAGCAAACGTGCAGCACAGCTGTAAATAGCTAAGGGTGTGGACTGAAGGTTTGGCCTATATTTAGAGGTTGGACTTAACTTCTAGAAGTTGTCCACCACAACATTCTGAATGACCAGGGAGAGTTGTCTGATGTTTTACACTATCTAACAACTTTTGGGGGGGAAAAAATACTTGTTTTGTCAGAAAGAATAGCCTGGGGAGTTGACGACGTTTGCAACAAGTGTGTATTTCCCTGCAGATTTGTTTCTTTATTGCTGCATGATGGCAGTCAAAAGACACACAACCCCTTTTACACTAAAAGACAGCCTAATACAATGAAAACTTATTAAAATTAGTCTAAAAATATAGGCTTAGTTGTACTTGCAATGTGTCAACCTAGAAAAAGTAGAGTAAAAATGTCTTCTAATTTTTAATTGTCCTATTCTTAGCTTTGGTCCACTCAGACTGCAAACAATTAGACATTGCTAACTGCAATGTGTTTTGGTCATTTCAGCCTTGTGACCATTTTTTATCTTTGCAGTTTTACTCGTTTCAAAACGGACATTGGATGTTTTATTTATTTTATTTTATTATTTTTTACCAACTATAATTCCATTAATATTCACATGTTTTGTGCCTACATTTGACCAACTTTGAGTGTCAGTATTTTAAAAATAATATTCTCTGTCTATTACAGTCATTGTCTTGCTTTATTCAAGTGGTGTTGATTTATGACGAGCTCCAACTCTTTAAGTTGGATGGTCTTCTTGACATAACACTAATATCTAGCTCCATTACCAATATTGGGTGTAATATAAAAATATACAAAAATAAGATTAAATTGAACTGTACATTGGACAAAATTTTTTTTTTTTTTTTTTTTTTTGGAGATTTACCAACCAGACATTTCCTAACCTTGACCTTGAGATCTGAGTTGCTGATTTGGATTTGTAACTCTTTATTTTATTTCTTTCCTCTTTGAACTGCAGAAAACTTATTAGAGTCTATCGAGGAAATACAGGCAGAGTATGATCTACTGATATTATTTGTCTCCATACTTAATCAGGATTACTGAACAACTACATGATATATAATTGTGATACTACTGACACATTGAATGTTGTTAACATCCAGAAACTTTGAGCATTCACACAACACTGGAAGTCAACAGACTATTCTTTTACTAAAAGAATATTGATTTATAAATCACATTGATAATTTTTTCCAAGACTTGAAAATTGCTGTTCATTCCGATGCCTCGTCTAATCTGACTGGTCAAAATGTTTTGCAAAGAGGAATGGGCAAAAGTTTTAGTCTATACATTTTTGAAAACGTGCATGATCTCAGCTCTCCAAGGTGTGACCCCTGAAGGCTGAATATAAATGGACATCATACTTTTCAAGGAATTTGGGGATTTATTTTTTATGTATTTTTTAAACTTTTTATTATTTCCCTTCAACTTTGCAGCAATCAGCTGCTTTGAACATTGAAGTTTGTGTTTATTTTGACAAAATATTAAACATTAACTTTCCTGTTAAGATAAAAAAAACACACACACACACACACGCACACACAAGTTTAATTAGGACTTTCAAAAAACAGCATCATAGATTAGTATTTTAAATTCTGAACAAACAAAAGCCAATACTTTTACTCCTGTTGGGCTACACCAGCTAAAAATAAAATTAAAAAGGCAACCACAATTTTCACTCTCAGGGAAGCAGAAAACAGAGAGCAAGTGGGAGAAGGAAGGTTAGTTTCACATAGACGTGTCATCGTGATGTTTAACTGATATTTACAATCTCTGCGTTTGTCCCTCTCTCTCTTTCCAGCATCATGGCTGTCTTGCTCTCCTCCAACCTTTGTCTCATACTCCTGGTTTCTGCTTTGGATTGGCTGCCCACTCCTGCATCTGCATTTCTCATTGACTGGGACCGCACAACATCATCAGGTGAGTTACTGGTGTTTCAGCTTAGATACTCTGGAGGAAATGGTACGATGTCAGAACGAATTGTTCTTCAGTCAGTTCATCAGATTGTCAATGTGTGCTCTATCAAATATTAACAAATGAGATTCGATTTTGTGCTCAACGTGCTGTTGACACCTGCTATCAAACCTTATGTCAGACATCAGTTGCAGAATGATGTGTTTGCTTGGATGCATGTGGAAAGGTTCACTGTTGAGCAAACGTTGCACTTTCCCGACTTGTTGGTAATCAATAGTGCTAGGGTAAACATATCGTTGGAGCTGTGCTGTCAAAGTCCAGGGACAGAGCAATGCACAATGTTCAGCCAACTAATCTGGTTGTCACTGGATCATTTAAAATAATTAGGTTAAAGAATGCTTGGGCTGGCTGGAGATGGGGACCAGATTTTATGTACTTTTCCACTTTCCATCTTTAAAGCCACAAAACTGTTAAAATAAGAATTTGTAAATGAATGGTGAACCGTGTTTTATGGATTTTTAAAAATGAAGGTGCGACATGAACAGAAAAAGTGCAGTGGGTCTGTGGAGAGACTCTTGTTGAAATACCTTTACATATACTTTGATGACCTTCGAATAATGTTTAGTTATTGTTTCCAGACTATCTGCATTTGCATTCTTTAGCTAAAGGCCATGTTTTCAAAAGGTTTCAAATGATCTTATATTGCAAGGATATCAGTCAGGAGAATGGTTCAAAGTATTCCACAGCATTACCTGCATACCACGGGACAGTGAAGACAGTTACCAATATTTGCAGAATAATAAGGACAAACGTCACATAATGTCCAATGGACCTTTTTTCCAAAATCATTGAAAAAGCAGGAACTGATCGGCACTGGAGGGACTTCCAACAAGGATGTTTTGTCATCTGCATGTGACTGAATATGAAAGCAAGTTCTCAGACTCTGAGTTGTCCTCAATGTCTGATAAATTTGAAAAACCTTTGCAAGGCTCACTTCACAAATATTGCCACATCAAGATGTGGGATGATGACAGATTTCCACCAAAGAAGACTGAAAGGTGAAACTTAATCCAAAAGTACTTCGTTGTATAACGAAGTACTTATATAAGATGTTAAAAATAAAAATAACATCTTTATTTTTCAGTTAAATTTTACTGTATAAATATTACATTACATGTGGAAATCATGATTGAAAGGATGTACCATTATCTCATTTTGTTGACATTACCAACTGCTATCTGCCCCTGGCAGCTAAAGCAGCTTCTGTTGAAATTGGGTAAAATACTAGAACTTTGGCAGCACTTGTTTATTTAAGCTCCACCTCTGCCAGGACAGCAATTCTCACAGCCAAACAGTGGCAACTGCAAAATATAAATCTGTTCTAGGGTGTCTGTATTACTTTCTCGTATGGAAATGGAGTTGGCAGCTGTTTCTGACTCGTTATATATGAAGCGTACTTGTTCAAGAAGGATTACCAACCAGTTTCTCTCCTAACCTGTATCATTCAAGAACCTGGTCCGTGGGTGTCATTTACATGATTTGCTCATATTACTACTTAAAAACACAGCCTTTAAATCTTCCTTTTAAACTAAAATCTGGAAAATCCGTTTACAAGTAAAATCTAATCTTTTTCTTAATGAGTAGATTTCAAAAAAGTAACAGAGTTTTCTCTGTTTGCCTCAGAAATAATGTGAGGCTTTTTAGTTATTTTATGTGTTAGATTCATTCTGCCAAAGACAAACATAGAGCTTTGTCTTACACTGAAGGATCAGCATTTCCTTTGAGTAAATAGCATCGACAGCATTTAGCAGCTAAACAAAAGTTGTTCTTTGAACGGGCATTCAGAGAAGTCGGGGAGAATATCATTAGGCGACATCTGATCATTGTTTTTATTGATTTGTGCTCATCACGTGTAAATGATTTCTCATTTTGCTGCTGAAACATCTGTCTGGTGTTCCCTTTTGGAAGGAGCACACAAATGTCAAGAGAAAGCATTCCCTTGTGGGAAGCTACGGCATCCCACAAGGGTTGTTAATGTTATTAATAGGCTAGTGCTGTTGGCAACACAGTGCAATTTAGTTCTTGTGTTTTTTTTTTACGTTAAGCTATTACAATATTGTGTTTTGTAGTAGTATTTTTTGGTTTGTATAGAAGATCATAAAAAAAACATCTAAATCTATTTGTGTTGGTGGACGCAAACAGGTCTTTTTTTTTTGTGATTTGGTCATATTTTTCATGGCAGCGTCTGACAAAAAAAAACAACCCTTTACGAATACACTTCTTTGTGTACTTTGGGTTTAGTGAAAAACAGCTGCAGACATGCCACTGGAATCCAGTGGAGATAGCCAGAGCACATTTAGTCTTCTTCTGCACTCTATAATTCAGCTCCTGAGTGGGGCACCCTTTCATAAGTGTGTTTTTATCATTATTACAATTTGCTGACAGATACAGTTCACTTTTCTCAAATAGTTCCCAGCAGGGGTAAAAAACAACAACAAAAAAGACTTCAATGTGTTGGTCTTCCTGCAGATTTTGCAGCTGTTTCCCGTTCCAAAGGGTTCCTGAATTACAGGTTGTTACAGTAGATCAGCATAGACCAAGTGAAACACTGTAGAGAGGAATATAATTTTACAGCTACCCTATTAGTGTTTATGTTAAATGGCTTGTGTTAGGTAAGGCGTAACATATTTCAACAGTGATTAAGAGTATAACAATTTAAATAATTACATCAGTTGATGTTGTTTATTTCTACTGCCACCTGGTCTATAAAAAGAAACACACACACAAAAAAAACCGCCCAAAAATTAAAAATTAGTCAATAGCTTATGTATTTTCCACACACATAGTACTATTTCACAGCACAGTCAAGCAACTATGTTAGCTTCAGCAACATATTGCTGTATATCAAAGGTAGCTTAACATTCTCTAAAACAAACTGCTGATGGCTTGACCGGCCCACCTCCTTCCAAATTGTTTCCAGAGAGGACTGCAGTAATGCAGTCCTGGTCTTCCTCAACAACCGTTAAAACATTTGTAAACACAAAGCAGCCGGCGATAGCAAGAACAAACACAGACAGCCTACATCTTTTTCAAACTACCAGAACAGCATCCTATACTGACATTCAGGTTCGCTGTCTCCTTCTCTCTCTGTCTCTCTCTGTCTCTCTCTCTCTCTCTCTCTCTCTCTCTCTCTTTCTCCACATATGTGCATGTCTGCATGAAACCTTTTTTTGTCTCACCTGTCAACCAAAATGGTTTTCTTGGGAATGTGCCTCTTGTCGTATCAGCCACAAAACAAGCAAAGAGTAGATATTTGGAGATGCTTCTATGCAGTTAAAGGTTTACCAGAGTAATTATAGGCAGTGTTCGTCTCTGTCTTCACAGCCTACTTTTTTTTTCCTTAGTGTGTCTTCCCTGATCTTTTCTTGTCTGAGTGTCTCAGGAGGATTCACAGACTGGTCCCACTGAGTGAGGCTGTGGTCTTGGCTACATTGGTGGTAATCAGTGGTTGCTGTGCAGAGGTTTTGGTTTGGTGTTTCTTGTTCGTTCACAAAAACCTTCCGTTACATCTGCTTCAAGAACGAGCCATGAGTGTGACGAACAAACACAGAGCTGGATGTCATGGCCAGGAAAACATATAATATATGAGAAAGTTTCAAATCAACAATCCAGTTTAGAAGATAATACTTATGGGGGAAGAAAACTAATTAAATAGAAATCATTAAAAGGTAATAAAATTTAGTTGATAAGCTAAACACAAGTTCTCTTAAGCAGTGTGGGACATTATGGATTACAAGTAAGCAATTAAATTTTGTCAAGTAGCAATTTATTAATGTACAACCATATTTTCAGCACTACTTGATTTGAGAGTGGCAGTATGTTAGAGTGCAACTTAAAGTTAAGTTAAAAATATAGCACATGGTTCTGCGACAGACTGGCGACCTGTCCAGGGTGAACCCCGCCTCTCGCTCTCTCTCGTTCGCTGGAGATGGGCACCAGCACCCCTCCTGACCCCACTAAGGGACAAGAGTGTACAGAAAATGGATGGTTGGATAGGATAAAAATATAGTTAAACTTACACTAATGGTTGCAATCTCTTGTCCATTTTGTGATGCTGCAAAAAGGGTGACGCTTGATGGGTCACATGTATTATCTGTCTTACTGAATTTTCATGACTTTGTTGTAATGTCTTTCCTAGTCTTTTGATACTTTCTTTCACTAACTGCTAATTTTATCTTTCTGACAAATTCAGCTTACAGCATGTTCAGAGAAAGTAATTTTTCAGTTTTTTTTCCCTTTTTCTCCATACACAGCTTATAAGAAGAAAAGACAAACATGCATATTTATTCAATTTTAAGATTTTTTTTACAATTGCACTTACCCTAATTAAGTGCAATTAATTAGTGCACTGTATTTTTAGTGGAATCTAAAAATAGGTATCAGTAACATAAGGAAGAAAACATTATACTGAGTTAAACAGAACCCGATTTATGGCACAACTCGGTGTGTATTCGTTTTTTAATTTCTTGGGATAACAAGTTGGGTCTCACAAAGTCATGTTGACTCATTTGTGACTCCTGGATCTCATGCTGAGTGCGAAGCCACAATCTTAAAAAGCTGAATTTTACACACTTCTTGTCACCATGTTAAAATATCTGAAGCCTAACTTATAATGACGAGAAATGGGATAGTAACTATATTGGTTTAGTGGTATTTAATGACTTTAGAGGAAATAAGAAGCATGATTATTTCCAGCTAGTATATTTCTTGAGCCTTTAAAAGCTTAAAAGGACACTGTAAAGGCAAACAGAGCAAAGTTTGCACTTGACTTCAAAGCTCGAAGCATTGTTGGAAATCATCGAGGATCAATGGCGGCAACAGCTTGTTATCCGGTGGTCCTGTTTCATTGCTGGTAAGAAAGGCAGGATGCATTCACCGAATTAAACAATGGCACTTTGAAATTCTTTACCTGTTTTTGTTTTGAAGGTGTATATTCAGCATGAGGC